TTTCGTCCTCAATAGGTTTAAGCCCCTTGCTGAAAAAGCAAAAAGTGCACCATCGATGTTCTCTTGGTACTAGGGGGGTTTCGTAACGGCCCCTCTCAATGTAAAGATTGTGGCAGCTAATACGAAACCTTGTTAAGCTTTTTCCGAGCATCGGGGATCTTAACCACTCCTAAGTATGTTTCTGGTTCAAAATCATGTTTAATTTGATTGCAGTAGCGCGCAACCGCAGTACGCGTCGGGTACTTTTTTCTCGCCCCCCCCCCCCCCTACAGCTTTTTGCACCCCTTGAAGCATAAAAGGGGGGGGGTGTCACGTCCGTCTATGTCCGCTTGTCTCCTAGAATCCAAAAAGGACAGGACAGAGGCGGACATAGACGGACCTAGGCGGATATAGACGGCATAGACAGACATAGACGACATAGGCGGACATAGACGGACATAGGCGGAATAGGCGGACATTAATGGACACCTAAATTGCTAAAAAAAAAATTGTTGTGCAAGTTTTGCGGGTCTTTAGGGGGATGCTTGTTGTTGTCCGGTCGGTACCCGAGTTGGTGCATAACGGGTAACTAAAAAATAGAGCGGACATATAATGGGGAAAGTACTGGGAGAGGCTGCCGCCGACCGTATAGTCGGCCCTCCGTTCTCCCACCACGGGGGCGCCAGGTGCGGCAGAGTTCACCGCGGCCCGCCGGCACCAAGCCGCATGGCCGATCCGCCCCGTACGCCGCCGCATGCGTCAGCAAGGGCGCCGCCATCGCTTGGGGCCGCCACTGTCCGCCCGCCTGCCCCAGGCACTCCGGCCTGCATCTCCTCCTTGAATCCGCCGCCCCGCGCGGAAGGCACGCGCTGGGGGCCGTCCTAGGGGGCCGCAGCGCAGCGTGATGACCGCGGCCCACGCGGCCGCCCGCTGGCCGCCGCATAGGGCAGCCGCCGCTAGCAGGCGCCGCAGTCCCCACGCCTGCCGCAGCCGCAGGGCCGCCGCCGGTGGCCCCCGCCGCCGCCGCAGTGGCTGTCAGCAGCCGCACGCCCGCAGCACAGTCCGACGGCCCGCCGCAGGGCGCTGGCCCCCGCATGGAGCAGCCGGCGGCGCTGCGACCGCACCGGGGGCCGCCGCCGCCCAGCCAGTGTGGCGGAGGCCAGCCGCCGCCGGCCGGCCACGCCGCTGGTAAGCCCGACCCCCGCAGCCCTGACGCCGCAGTCCTCCGCCTACGGGGGCCGCCGCCCGCCGCTGCTGCCCGCCGCCGGCGGTCGCCGCGTCCCCTGGCCGCTCCGGCCTCCTCGGGGGGGGGCCGCCGCGCAGACGGGCATGCTGGGCCGACCGCCGCCACATTATCACAGAAGGCCGCGCCCTGGGCCAACCGCCCGGCAGACCTACGTGGCTCGGCCGCCGCACCGCCGCACGCCGCCGCCGTTGGGCCTCCGCAGGGCGATGGCCCCGCCTCAGGGCTCGCCTCACGGCGCTGGTCGCCGCCTGTGCCGGGCACGCCGCGGGCCGGAGCGCAGGCCGATCCGCCGGGGGGCCCCGGGCACCCGCGCTGGCATGCCGCACAGCCAGCGCCGCAGTCGTACCGCCGCCCGCCGGGCGGACCGCCGCCTCCGCGGCTGATCGACTCCGCGGGCAGACCCGCCGGGCCCGCTGGGGCCGACCGCAGCCGGGGGGACGCCGCACAGCAGCCGGAGCTGCCAGGCCGCCGCAACGCAACAGGGGCCGCTCCCTAGGCCCCCAGCCGGGAGCCGGGCTCCGCCGTGTCTCGGGCATGCCGCCGCCGAGCCCTCCAGGGCGCCCGGCAGGCGCCGCGCGTCAGATCTGCCTATGGCCGCCCCTCATGAGTCCGTCCTCCCGCCCGCGTACGCCGGGGGCCGCCCGAGGAGGCCGCACGTCCCCCGCCCTCGCAAGCTCTGCAGCCGCTGGGGCATGCACGCCGCAGCCTGCCGCCCCAGCCATCCGCCGCAGCATCGCCTCACTCAGAAATATGAGGTCGCATCTGGTACGCCGCCGTGACCTGGCATCGTCAGGCCCATGATCCCGGACCGGCACTGGCACCGCCTCCGCCGCCGGGGGGGCCCTCCCGCCCCCTCCTCCGCATGCTGGGGGCCGCCGGGGGCGGCCGGAATGCATACCCTGGCCCGCGGCCGCCCGCCCGCCGTGGGACACTCCGCCTCCGCCGCCGGCCCCTACTGTCCTCCGCATCTAGGTCCTCATCTGTGTGCGCCTCATCCCCAGGCCTACCTCTCCTACTCCGGGGCCTTTTCCTGGGGTGCTCCGCCCGGCGGGTCTCCTCCGCCTCGGGGCTACTGCCTCGCCGGGGTCAGCCCGGCTCCGGCCGCAATGCAGACGTCCTTGGCTCCGCCTGGATCTATAAGGATTCGCGCGGCATGTTACGAAAATGCGCGCTCGAAATAATGTCCCATGGTCGCCGCGGTACAAATTTGTATGGATAGTTTAAATGTAGAGCCTCCGTTTATCAATTTCCCGCGGGGGACCGCGTGAGGGGGGCCATAAAACGCTAAGTATGCGAGGCGTAAGCCGGTGGGGGCCCTCGGGGGCGCCGCCGCCTCGAGTCACGCGGTCCGCCGCGCGCCGCCTCCGCGCCCGGTCCACGCCCTCAGGCAGCGCCTGCAAGCCTTCCTCCATGCTAGCCAACTCCCCGCCTCAGTCCTCCTCCTTCTGTCATGTGCCGCCGCCGGTGGCCGTGTGTGGCGGTGGCCGCCTCCCGCTGCAGGGCATGCCTCCCTCTGTGCTCCTCCTTCATCCTAGGTCCGCCTGTATGGGGCCTCCGGCGAGACGCCGCCAGCCTGGGGGGGCTGATGCGTGTCGCCTCCCGTGCACGCCTCAGGCTTCCTCCTCTGGCAGTCCTCCCGCAGGGCTCACTCCTCAGCCTTATCCTCCTCAGGCCAGCCTCCTCATGCCATGTCCTCCGTCTCAGCCCAGCCGCGCCCTCATGTACGCATTGCAGTAACTCTTTCAGTCCTCAAAATGTGTAGTCCGCTAATGTCCACCAATGTGTCGCTTAATGTCACCAATGTCAGGCCAAGTCCGCCAATGGCCGTCCGGGTCCGCCATTGTCCGTCCGGGTCCCGCCAAGTCCGTTCCGTGTCCGGCCAATGTCCCAAAAAATAACAGCGTCGTTGGTTTCCCATAGAATCCAAAAAAGGGACAGGACATAGCGGACATAGACGGACATGGACACCCCCCCCTCCATTTAAATGGGTTTCCCAATATTTTTGTTCGCGGGGCCACGAACGCTATTAAATTGGACATTGGGAAAATTACTCACAATATTTAAAGGCGGGTGTTGTTTTGTCTTTTTTAGTGATAGGGGCTTTAATAATGGTCCAGGAAAAAATTGCGCCCCCCCCGTTGTACCGGCGCCCCCCCCTGCACAGCGGGGCCCTAAGTTACGCCCACTGCGTTATACACATGGCTATTTGAAGTCATACATGGTCTAGTCTAGTGTTTGTATTTGTTTATTAGCTAAGTGACGCAATCACAGGAAGTTTATCAAATGAATTAAAGTAGTAAAAGTAAAGTACAAATTATGACATAACATCATCACTAATGTCTACAAAGTATCATCACACTACATGGAAAAATAACTATTTCTTCATCAAATTTATCAAATATTAATCATGAATAAAAACAACATTAAACAAATTTAATTTATTCATACTTCCCAGTGGAGTAAGATTTATAGAACGTTTCTTTGCTACATAAGGATGAAACCACAGATAATCATTGTGTTTTTCCTTAAGACTGATATAACTGGTACCAAGGATCATGCTTAATCAAAGTTGTCCTCGACCTGAACTTACTAAGTCTTGTAACCTCCTGGAGTTTGGGCCAATGACCCACTGAATTGGAAACGACTAGATATTAATTTTGTGTATCGGGTCTAATTATAAGGTAGATGCGATGCCTTGTTGTTTAACCATCAGCCTGGCCGTCATAAACCTTCTTCCTTTTACCCAACCGCTAGCTGGAATTTAGCTTTGATCTCAACATAATACTCCTTCACCTCATCTGTCTAAGAATTTCCTATGGGAATAACAGCATTCATAATGGGCTAGGTCAGAAACAAATATGTCTTTGTGTCTGTAGACAATGGATATTGGATTTGGATAAAAATGAAAAATGCAGCTGTGCTAGGAATCCCATTCATACGATTATATTTTGCTACCTTACGTCAGGCTTTAGCATTTTCTTCTGTGAGGAACCTGTCTAACCCTAAAGTGGTGTCAAGACTCAAGAGACTATTATCTATTTGACTGAACCTAGAGAAAGATCGTTTCAGAAAGTTTGCTCTAAATTATGAAATGAGCTGCCTCGTGAAATTAAGAATTGCATGTCACTGGAATCTTTTAAAGTGTATCTGAAAATGTTTCTTTTTAAACTCTGCGATAAATCGGGGTTTTACTGTATAATATACATATTACCAGTAGATGTAAATATATGATGCTTGAAGTTCCTTATATAAAATAACCTTCAGATTGTTTTGAATAGGTGTGAACTGTGAAGGTATTACTTTTTAATAAACTGATCGTAGCGGCCAGGTAGCGTAGTTGGTTGATCATCGGATTTGTAATCGTAAGATTGCGAGTTCGAATCCCACTGCCTGCCTAGTCGTGGGGTGAGCGTCGTTGACGCTCTGCTAAGGATCCCGAAGTGGTCTATGTAGCCCCACGGTTCACTCAGCCGAATGCTCGAGAAATCGGGTGTGAGGGTTAAATGAGGAGCTGTGCTTGATCAACACAGCGAAGCCTCGGGCGAAAAAGTGTGGCATAGTGCCTTAACGTTGCTGGCCTTAGGAACGATCCTTCGGCTTCTTGTAAAGCTCTTCCTTGAAAGTGCTGGTTTACATTGTAATGCAGGTAATGCCGAAGTAAAATAACAAAGGTGGTCGACTCATTCGATGGCCTTGTTGCGTCGCAACGAATCCTCATAAGAAGATAAGAATAGGTGTGAAGGTATTACTTTCTAATAAACTGATCGTTTCTAATAGGTGTGAAGGTATTACTTTCTAGATGTGATTTGGAAATATACCTCCAGAGGAACTCCTACTCCAGGTGCCACAGATCATGTTGTTATATAATGTGTAAACATGGAGCCGCACTGCCGATAGTAGTACTTTTTTCAGGTACGACTAAAATATACGTTGTTTCCATGGTGACACTTTGATTCAATTATGTTACGTACAATGTCATGGTAACATATTATTATTCAACATAAAATAGAGTCATAATAAAGATTTTTTGATCTCCATCATAGACATTCAAATCAATGTATTTTTTCAGTTCTGCTGACTCCAGTGTTTTCTACACTCCCTCCGGCTCCCCATAATGCAACTCAAGCTACCTCACAAAACTATACCACCACCCCCTTCGGCAACACCAACCAGTTTACCAACACCTCCCAATTCAGCAATCCTTTACCTAACTGTTCCACCAATGAAACATGTAAGTTCTTGTTTTACTTTTTGGTTATGCTAGTGTTAGCTGCATCCATTTTTATTTGAAATGCGATTAGTTATTTTATATGAGAGCGTTATATTTCAGCCATGCAAAATTACACAGACATTTTTTTGATGAACAAAAAATGGTATTGCAATATAAGTTGCATGTGTGGCCAGATGACAACTTACTGAACTAGAAAAATAAACTTTATTATACAATAATTAATTGTGCTGAACTAAAATATAGCAGGAGCCACGTTAACGTTACTCAGGTTGCTTTGGTAATTTAAGTAATAGCATAATTATTCTGTGATGTTATTGCTTTAATTGTTTTAACTTAAAGTTAAATACTTTTATATTCTTCGGCCAACAATCGCGTTGGACTTCATCTGAATCCAAGTATTCGTATTGTTGAGGGATTCAAACTAATATTAAGGTTCAAGTATGATGTCAACCGCTGGAAACCACACCCTCTTTTCATTTTTGCGTATCAAATTATTAAAAGAACACCTGGTTCAACATAGAACCTCTAAATAACACTTAGCTAAATTATTTGAAGATTGATCTTGCGAAACTATCTAACTTTATCGGAGTTAACACATCTCCCCCTCAGTGTATAACTGTTCATCACAACACAACTGCTGCCAGAGCCAAAGTAATGTTCTAGTTCAACAGTTGGAGCAGATAAAGGATAAGTTTCAGGGAGTGGACGGTATAATCAGAAAAGACTATCAAAATATCCAGGGTAAGCTTTAACTATATTTTATTACATTTTCTCTTGTTTTTCCTCCAAAAACTATGTAAACATAACATCTCATAGTTCACAATACTTCATTTACAGGGTGTTCATAAAGTCTCTGTAGCTACAATAATACTGACCATATGCCAAGAATTATGTCTAACATAAACAAACACTCAATAAGAGACTGCCTCTGCCGTGTTGTTCGTTAGAACATCATCATCACTGAGTTTATTCAGAAAAAATCAGAAATCTTCTTTAAAGAATCATCTAATAAGAGTCATAAGACATAAACAGAACACAACTTAATCAGATTACTCAATAGAACAGTAATAGGAACGGCTATGTGCACTGTTCTGCTTTAATATAATTACCTGTATTATTGGAGGAAATTAACATAACAATGACCCTAGCAGACTGGTTTTCATAACCCGTTTCAGATGAACAAGTTTGACACTTTTTCGCTTTGCTATTGTGGGTTTCTCCATATATGGGCATGACATACCTAGACACAGCCCCCCCCCCCCCCACTGTTTAATAGTGTGTACCAGGGAGTGTGTAGACATGAACAGTGAGCACACACTGTATCTTGAGCTCTATTGTAAACTGTAAAGCTCCCCCCACTATTGAACACACGTTTGCTGTCAGACAGTGAAGTGTCCCTGAAACCCGATATGTTAACTCTCATCTCTATCTTACCTTATCATTAGCCCCACACTGTAGACTGATAATGTTCATGTGGTGTAAACTGGCGGGATGAGTAGAATGGTCACAATATGCCATGCAAGGTAGTGTTGCTATGGTAACACTGTCTATTAGGTAATGTAACCAGGTGGTCACAATGCCATATAAGGACATTAAGTGTGCCCTGTTCCGCCACACAGGTAAGAAATGAGTTGTAAAACCAACAGTTTAGTTCTGATACAAATGTTGGACTTTGTAGAAATCTCTAAAGCAGATACTATGATCCTGAACACTGTAGTACACAGTATTCTCTATAACCATTACAGCACACTTTATACGGCACTTGCCTCACCCTAGAGGGACATGTGTTATCTTCTGCACTGCTAGAATGTTTTAGTGATAAAACAAGGGTGTAAAAGTCTGAAGAGAGAGACTATAACACTAACAGTAAAGTAACTGGGGGGGGGGGGGGGGGGAAGTAATACTACTACTACTATACTGTGTACTGTCTAGCTTTGTTAACTGTTATGAAGACAGGGGGGGGGGGGGGGAATACTACTAATGTGTCTAGCTTTGTTAACTGTTATGAAGACAGGGTATCATGTATAATTTATACACTATTACAGTCTCACTGTCTGATAAGGGGGACCATTATTGATTTTTACAATTACTTTAAGAGTGTTATTGTAAAACTTGTAAAGCTTGTCAGGCAAGGAGATTTACTTGATTTCTTGAAAATTGTATTTCCATGGAATCGGCTCGGAGGTATTTGATATTGTTATACTATAATCTCAACTAAACCTGACAAATTTTACAAGTTTAAAACATTACATTGCATATTACATATCACTGATAAAATTATTAAAAAGATACGTTTATTGAGAGAATATAATTTATGTTTATTGGATTATATTGAGTGTTGAATATAATTAGCTTTTGTTATGATTTTCTACACTCATTTTCTACTACTTAATAAGATCTTTACTCTTTACAACATTCGCTTTATTCTACACCCGTCACGTACTACTGACCAAGATATTTACTCTTGTCTTTTATTCGAGGCTAATTATTAAGTGTTGAGCTTGTCTGGTGGCTTGGTAGATTGTAGTGGTAATACTTTACTTTATGAAGGAGATTATTCTTATAGTTTCTAGGCAACTTTAATACTGTATCTGTCCAAAAGTTAGTTTATCAGAATGCAGGTGATATACTGATATTATTCAGTATTATATCTGTTATTCAACATCGGGTATTATTATATGTCTATTATAATAGACTCCTAAATTCTGGAATCTGGATAACCAATATTTACTAGTTAGTGTAACCGGTTACTATTGGTAAACTAGTGGTTAATATTGGTAACTAATGTAACTGGGCCTTGATGGTGAACGGAATCTAAGCGAGTCTAGCTCAACGTCCATTTTTATAATTACTAAGAAACTGCTCACAGCTGTAGTAGTATTACATGTAAGGGAAAATAACTCCTTCTCATCTAATAATTTGTCCGTATGAATAGCCTATTTATCATATTCAATGATAATAATATTATGATGGTCCCAGAATTTTAAAGATATTTACCATATAAGTTAATGTTTCCTTGGTAACCAACCATATTATATAAGGTAATGTTACCTTGGTAAAACTACCCTCTATAAACGTTATGTAACCACAGTAACACTACCATATAAGGTAATGTTACCTTGGCAAACACTACCATATAACGTTATGTTACACAGTAACACATCCTGAATTCCAGGTGAAGTAGAGCGTGGACTCACGTGGACTAAAGGTTAACCTATCAGAAAGACTAGGAGACACCTATTCCCTCCTTCTGCCTGCCTTCAACACTACAATAGATAGACTGTTATCGACTATTTCTAGGACATGATAAATCAGATGACTTAGATAGTTATATCCGGGGACTCTCCTCTCAGATACTGCACACTGTTCTCAGGTTAGAACTGCTAATTGTTTATATTATAGTAGTCATATTACCGTATAATATAATAGTTGCTAGGGGTTGCAAGGGCCGGGATGCTACCATAAAAGGTAATGTTACCTTGGTTACCAACAGTTTCATTACAGTAAGACGGAGGTGCCACCTCGGAAGTTTCCTAGAAACATAAAAGGAAAATAACATATTCTGGGACTAAACACCGTTCAGAGATCTTGTGTTGTGGACTACATGACCGGGGTCTACCCATCTTGATTAAGGTTTGTTACAGATATTATAACTGATTTTACTTTCAGTTTCACGTTCACTAGTCTCACTTTCTGTTTCACTTTCACTAGTCTCACTTTTACACAACACAACTCCCAGGTATCAGACGAAGTGATAGCGCAGATGAGAAACTCTACACAGTCACTACACGAGTATATGTCGTTACTGGGTACCATGGTTACCATTATTGAGAACATGGTTAAAGCTCAGCAGACTAGGAATTGTATTGATGAGGTGAGTGGTTGCTAGGTTTACATGTTGTACAATTGGGGGGGGGGGGTCCAACCCGATGTCCGATATGAGGGTTGATGAGGCCAAAATCGGAATCGGAAAAATCGGAAAAAATCGGAAAATTGAGAAATTTACAGAATCGATCTCTAAAACCTCTCAGAAGTGATATAATTCAACCAGAACCCCTACATATGCTATATTGTTACGAGAAAACAAACCAATTGGACATCCCAATAGTATGTTTTATGAGTTTTTCCACTGCAGGGGCTAGTATGCTCACTACTAGTTGGAGTTGTCATATACTCCCAGACCCAGGTGCTTTGGCCTCTTGACGTGAGATCGATTGTTTCTGCTCATTAATTTTTTCCCTGTTACTTGTTATTATGTATTAATAGTACAACACTAGGTACCGGGTTATATTTTGTCATTTTGTGGTCCCGTCTTTAAACATACCATAATATCACTAGTACACTGCACCTTAAATGTATTAGTCAAGTACATTTTGTATCGTAACCACATGCTTGGCTGGGGGAATCCATGTTTCGTGTCCGTTCGGTACCCTATATTTTATAAAACTCCGGGACCCAAAAAAAGTATTTTGGGGGGACAAAATAAACTCGGACAAAAACAGACAAAAAATACAGAAAAATAACAGACCACGTCCGAGTGATACACTAATAAAAAAACACCATCGGAGTCCCGCCCCTCACCAGTGTCCCCCTGTCTATGTACATCGTGGAGTCCCTCCAAACATTTAGGATGTCCTCCTCCCCGCCTGTCCCCCCCCCTCTCACCGAACCGGGACACCCTCCCCCCCCCCACCGTTGCGCCGCCCCCACATCTCCTACCCAGTTGGCCTCGTTCTCTACCTGTCCTCACCACACCCGCCTCCCCTAGCCCCCCACGTCTGTATATGTATGGTTGCCCCCCGCCCCTAAGGCGGTCATCCGTCCTCCTCCAGAGGCCTTCTCTCCGCGGTGCCCTCTTCAGTCCTCCTCAGGGGGACTCTCGTCCTCGTCCTTCCTCCTCAGGGCCGCGCTCCAGCCGGGCCGCGCAGGCCCCTCCGCCTCTGGGTCCTACTCCCAGGTCCGCAGGTGTCGACCCGGCGCGCCGGGGCCCGCCTACTTCACCCCGCACGCAGTGATACCGCCGCTGCCGCTCGCCTCGTGTCGCCTGGCCAATCGCCCTCCATCTGTCCGCGGCAGAGGCGGTGCATCCGCTGCCGGACGGTTCCGCAGCCTGCCGCCGACAGCTGAGCTATGACCGCCTCGGGCCCGTCTCATCAGGCCGCCGCGCGCGCCATCCCGCGTCTGTCCTCCCTGCGCGCGCCTCCGCACGGCATGGCCGGTCTGCCGCTCTCTGTGCCGTGCGCAGTAAGCGGCCTCGGCTCTGCAGCCACGGCAGGGACCCGGCGCCCCAGGTGACCCAGGCGGCCGACCGTCGGCCCCGCCGTGGCCGGACCGCCGCAGGCGCCCCCTGGGCGCTCGGACTCTGGGCCTGCACGCGCGGTTCATCCTTTGGGCCTCATGGCGCCTGTGCTGTCGTGCCTGACCGAAAATTGCTGGCCTCCTGCGCACAGTCGTCCGTTCGCCACTCTAGGCCGTGTTATGTGCCAGGGCGTCCTGCGTCCAGTGCGGCCTCCGTAGTCCTCCAGCGCTGCCAATGCGCCTCCCGACGCCTCGACTCTACAGTCCTCCTCCTCCGCCATCAGGCTCCTCCTCCCTCCTCATACCTCCTCCGCAGGCCGCCTTCGTACTGTCCCGCTTCTTGAGAAGCCTACGTCCGTCCTGCATGTGCCGCCTCCGTCTTCCTCCGCCATCTGTCCTCATCCTCAGTCCTCCACTTGGTCGTCCTCGGGGGTTCCTGAGGTTCCTCGTCCTCGTTCCCGTCTTCCTCCTCATGAGGCCCTCGTCCTCTGTCCCTCTCCTGGAGTCTCCGCCTCTGCAGTTGCTCCTCCTGAGTCCCTACGCCGCAGCTGTCCGTGCCGCGCCTCGTCAGGTCTCCTGCCTGGAGGGCCGCCTCGTCAAGTTGCCTCCGGAGGTCCTTCATCTCATTCCGCCTCACCACCGTCCTGAGTGACTCCGCCTGGAGGTGCCTCCGCCTGATCCTGCCGCCGCATTTAGCCTCCGCCGCCGCAGTCCGCCTGTCAGCAGCCCCCGTCCGGCGCAATGTCGCCTGATCCTCCTCCCGCCGCAGGCCGCCGGGGCTCAGCCTCCTCCGACTCCTCGGCCGGAGCCGCCACCCGATAAAAAGCAGTCCCTGCCGCCTCAGGTCGCTCCGTCCGCGGCCACGCGCTCGGCCTCAGCCGGGGAGGTCCTCACTCGTCCTTAGTCCGCTCCTCCGCCTGCCTGCCCCGGCCTAGGCCGGCCCTGCTTGGGCCGCCCCTCCCTCTTGTCGCCTACTTGGCGCGTCTGTCCGCCCCTCCTCCCTCACCCATAGGCCTGTCGCCTCGGCCTGCAGTCCGCCCTGCGCATGCTTCAGTCATCCTCCGAATGGCTGTCCGTACGTCGGGTCCTTCCGCCCCTCCTCCCCAGTTTGGAACTACCCAAGTCATCCTTCTTGCCTCCAGCAGTCGTCTGCTCTGTTCTCTGCTCTTTTCCTCAGTTCTCATCCTCCTCCTCCTTCTCCTCTTTCTTCTCGTCCTAATCAGTCCTCCTCCTCAGTCCTCCTCGTCCTCGTCCTTAGTCCTCGTCCTCATTCTCGTCCTTAGTCCTCGTCCGGGGGGGGGGGGGGGGGGGGGGGGGGGGGGGGGGGGGGGGGGGGCCAATGACTACTTTTGGGGACTTGGAGAATTACGTCAACGATTTTACCCCGAGTCCCCATTTTTAGTCCCCATTAGTCCCCAAAAGTCTCCATTAGTCCCCATTTAGATTTCAAAAAATCTGGCTTCTCCAGACCAGATCGTAAACTTCTCAAGACTGAAGTCTTTAATATTTATAAATGGTCACTGGACATTCCTGACTTCTTGGGAGCTACTTGAGGGCTGTTAGAGTACCTAACTAACTTGAAAACCATAAATAACTGTCAAAATTCTGGGGACTTATGGGGACAAATGGTGAATTACGTCAACGAGTTGACCTCTAGTCCCCATGATTTTTAGTCCCCCATTAGTCCCCAAAAGTCTCCATTGGTAGTCATTGGCCCCCCCCCCCCCTCGTCCTCATCGTCCTAGTCCTGGTCCTGGTCCTCCTCAGTCTTCCTCCTCTGTCCTCCTCAGTCCTCCTTCTCCTCGTCAGTCCTCCCCAGTCCTCCTCCTCCTCAGTCTTCCTCCTTCTCCTCCTCTTCCTCCTCAGTCCTCCTCTTCTTCAGTCCTTATCCTCCTCCTCATCAGTTTACACAATTTATTGTTACTAAAATGTTTTTAAACGCATGTGAGTCTGTAACATATTGACATGTTACTGTTACTGACTCAAAATGTGCTGTAGAATTTTTTTGTTTAACATAGTTTTACTCTCCAGTACTATGGAAAAGTTGTTACATGATAAATAAAGATTTTGATTAAAAAAAAGTGATTTTCATCCCTTTTAATGTTATTAAAAATTGTGTAAACTATTCTTTGTATCTAAGAGATAACCGTGCTACCCATTTCTGCAGATAGCCTGTTACAAATTGTGGAGACAATTTAAATCAAAAGTTACTAAAGCGTTCGCTATTTGTTACGATTATTATTACCAACCGTACCTCTTTCAATTGTGGACCGGGGTGGATGTTTCTGTCAAACAAGAGTTGATACGACAGTGTGTTGTTTTTCGGACGAAACGATTCTTGTTTGGAACAAGAAACTATTTTGGGGTTCTGGGACCACCACCAATCGATTTCTTGTCATATTTAAGTACAGAAATAGCTACCTATATCGCCTAGAAACCTCAGAGGGAAGATTTAAATTTTCCCGATTTTTCCGATATGAGGGTTGATGAGGCCAAAATCGGGATCGGAATGATCGGAAATGATCGGGTTGGACCCCCCCCACAATTTATTTGATATTCAGTAGTAGATAAATCTGAATATCAAGTAAAATTGCAATAAACTGATGGCTTTTATCACCTTGATATCACAGTCACACTGCATCTTATTAACTAATTTCCAATGTTCCTGGCCCCACAGGGAGTATATTACCATATATGGTAATGTTACCATGGCAACACTACCATATAAGGTCACACTATCTCCTGCTGTTCTATACACACTGCACTGTCGAGCTTGATTGGGATCCTGAACTATTGCTACTTTTAAGGATTTAGGCGAAAATTGCCGGAAAAACTTACAGCTGTTTATTACACAATGTTAGTGCATGTGATATGAACTGCTAAAAGTTTCGTTTTTACACTTTCCAATAGTCAAATGACAAATGTACTGAATATGTACTTCTTACAGTAGTTTAGACATTATATCGAAAGAAAGAAAAGTGTTCTCACAAACATGATCAGCTAGTTAGCTACTCGCAATAAGCTTTCAGATCTGATCCTGACGTTTGATTTTATAAAGGAGCACATGATGTCTACTGCCCTAGTCTCTCTTAACGTGCGATAAGAATATACATTAAATCCATCCTGTAGTACAGAGACTAGAATCAGAAACAATGTAGTCCTTGGTGCGCGTCAACAAGTGTCGGCCACGCCCCCAAGGACTACATTGTTCTGATTCTAGTCTCTGTACTACAGGATGGAAAAGATTTAAATAATGTCTCTGCTAACTTTTACTTTGGGTTGGAATACGATAATATCGCAGCAGTGGCTTTTTAAACCTGAAATGTAAGATCGTGACCAAATTGTTATATATAATAAGCATTATTATTAACGACTAAACACAATCTGGTCGGAATACTAATTCTACTGTGTAGCAACAATTTGATCACATCGTGTTACCAATGCTGTATAAAATATACTGTTCTATAAAAAGATAATAAACAGGACAGTAAAAGTGAATGAGTTTCACCTAATTTCACCTAATTTCACCTATTATGACGTCACGTCTCCACCTTATATTGTCCCATTTACCTGAACCTATAAACTACAATGTAATATTTAAAGTAGAGCGAGTTAAGGATATTACAACCCCCTGTCAAGATACATGGGGTACATGGTTACAGATGTCTTTACAAAGGAGCAACCCTAACTAATCACAGATACTACGTACCTTGTAATAAAAATATACGAGAGAGCTGAGACTCAGAAGCGGAGGTTATACAACGAGAGAATTCTGAATGTAGAACATGGGAGTTTCTGTCCTCTGGTGTACTCTGTCACGGGTGGCAGCGGGCCAGAAGCGAGAACATTCTTTAGATTATTGTGTGAGAAAATAGCATATAAATCTCAACAAAATTATTCAGATGTTGTAAATTTTTTAAGATGTAAACTTTCATTTATTATCAGGAAGCTGGTTCTCCTGTGTATAAGAGGAACCAGATCTTCTGTCAATTCTGTTGACAAAAGTTGTGAAAGCGACTTTGAGTTCGCATGCTTTGTATCAAAGCTTAGCTAATTATGAGTCCTATGGACTCAATTAATTGGATGATTCAAATCTGGTCGATATACATTGTTGTAAATTATATTGTTATATATTATTATATTTGTTTTCCAAAAAAATACGTACTACGCACCACTATTCTTGGAACCTAGTGTACATTCAACATTACATCTGCACCTTATCTATGCGCCCTCATAAGATATAACGTTATGAATAAAAGTTAAACTTTCCTCGCTCAGGCCCCAATGCTTTTACAAACGAATGCCCAGCTAATTTAAAGCTAGTTTATTAAATCGTAGTATTTTACCCAGCTAGCTGGAAACTAGTTTTGTTTCCAGTGTCGCAGGAAGAGAAGGACTCTGATAGTAGCCGGTATAACCCACATAGCAGACATCACCTCCCTCATTACTTACCTAGTCTACCTCATTAGGACCACGTATCAGAACAATGATCTACCAACTGTAGTCTGTATCTGTTGTTCTAAACTTGTTTAATTTAATTGTAATCTACTCAGAGAATTTCGTATTCTTAGTATTTATCAGAAAGAGTGTTAATAAAAGGTTTTGAGCTGGCATATTCTTCATATTCTTCATCAAAATTCTGAATAACTACATTAAATAGTGCATAATATATGATTAAAAGTCACCGCCATTTTCGTATTAACGAGTTGATACGATTATTATATCAATCCTTAAAGTAATGATTTTACAGTGTACATTATTTTGTATATTTAATCGTCATACGAATAACCATTAAATAAGTTATAACTATGAGTCTGGTCTGTGCTCCTTTATAAAATATAACGTTACTATTAGCCCAAGTTCTCATCAACATGAGGATTATAAAATGCAAATGATTTGATAACCATGGTGACTACCTGAGTCTGTGCGTGACACAGATCATGACTCAGAGAGAGGGGCTGGATATTGTATATCATCACCACTGACAACAATAATACAACTCAAGAGAACAAATCGTTCAAGCTTCCTGATTATTGTACTGTTTATCAAACAGAGCTTCCAGCCATCAGAGAAGCTAGCAAGCACCTCTCAATTTATACCAACACGCACATAATCATCATTATATGGACTGACACTTGACAGCCTCCTCCACACAGCCTCCCCCACAGCCTCCCCCTACACAGCCTCCCCCAGGGGTGTAGGAAGAGGGGGGGGGGGGCACTGGGCAGGGGGCGACCCCTATATAAAATATACATTATACAACAGTCATTACTTTTATTTAACTACATTTTCAATTCAGAGCTTTGAGTGGACAGGTTATTGTAGAGTTGTAGCTGGTGTATTATAGTAGGGTGGTACTAGTGTGGTGTGTATAATAGCATTTAATAAGTGTAGCTGTACTCCCTGGGGGCTCAGGAAAAGTGAACAATAGTTAAGTGTGCAATAGTCATTATGATATCAAGATTGGTAGTATGTTATTATTGATAAAACAGGATATTTGTTACTAAAAAATTATAGACCACACAATCCAAAAACCATTTACTATAGCCCTATAGCTTATAATTAAGTAGAGACACGTGATGCCCATACAAGGATATGTAGAGACATGTGATGCCCCGTACTGCCAGTCGAACACAGTAAAAATAACATTTGTCTACGTCTCTAGTAACTCAGTGTAGAACTACTTACTTTGAAATGTTGAAATTTCACTGTCTAGCTTGCTCCGTTTAAAAATATCAGTTCAAATAAAAGTTATCTCCAGTCTGTGAACTGGAACAGTCCCTACAACACGTGTAACACGGGAATTATACACGTAATAATGTATCACGTTACCATGGTTACACAACTTACATGTTCCTGCAAAAAACACCTGTTACCAATACCATGGTACTGGTTATGAAACATCACCTTATATGGTAGTGTTACCATGGTGTCACTACCTTATATGGTAGTGTCACCATGGTGCCACTACCTTATGAGGTGCTGTTTACCCATTACACTAGCTGTTGCTACAATTCCCGCCCTACTCAATACTCATCACTATATTGATACTTGTGAGTGTTGCGTAAACACGGCTGGAAATGGAGTGCTCCTTATATGGGCATCACGTGTTTCTACATCTCCTTATATAAGATCACGTGTCTCTACATCTCCTTATATCATGGGCAGCTCGTGGGTAAACACGGCTGTAAATGGAGGGGAAGCAGCTGGAAGGTATAATGGCAAAAATTGCGATAAAAATCATTTAGCGACTTTTGTCGTTGTTATCTGAAGAAAATATTCTCAATGTTGAAGTGCTCACTTTAAGGAGATAGTGATATAGATCAGTAACAGCTGCCCACCATTATACTCCTTTGAGACAACTGTTACAATACACTCGCTATATAATCTATCTATACTAATAATCCCAAAATGTGCAGTGTGTGTCTGTGTGTCTGTGGGTAATTTCCGAACGGATTAATCAAGAAAACGGCTAAAGTTATGGGCATGGTTTTTTCGGTATAGTACCAACAAAACTCTGACGAAGCCAAATGGAAATGTATATTCGGAAGATGGTTTATTTAGTGTTTTTGTGTATCATTAGTGGTATTGTAAATTGTAATACTAGCCTGTTGTCATTTACTATAACAGTGTTAGATTCTAAACTCAGTTCTAATTGCTTCCCACAAAGTAACCTCAATGCTGAGAATATAGTTAGCAGTTGGAATAACACATGACAACATCTCCTTCCCATGGTGGGGCGCGGAGTTGTTGGATCTCTATACTACATACTGCCCTGATATTTCCAACTTGCTGTTTGAGTAGTAGCCAGTTCTTTTTATTTGTCATTATGTTTCTAGTATGATGTGTTTAGAGATTATGTTACCCTGTTTTCTCAAATAGTAGGTTTGAGTAGTTCGTGTTAAATAAACTATACACATAATAATATGTGGTAACAACCAAGGTAACACCCTAACCAGGTGTCCATACTTCACACGCTGTCACGTGTTACCCACCCAGTCACGTGTTACTCTCACCCACCCAGCTGTCCCTGACCCTACTACTACCCAATTCTAAAGGAACTCCACCTCTCCCCTACCAATAACTCTGGGATTCTCAGTGAGATTCTGCAGAACAAGTTACTGAGAGTAATAAATTATGTGTATTATATACAGGGTCCGGTGATTCACCAAATTACAGAGGGACCGGTGGTTTGTTATGTTGAAATGTGAGAGTTAGTGTATTCTGCTATTATTTAAGTTAACGACTAACGTTCTCCTTAAACACTACACTCTGAATATGAGCCGGTATTAAGAGGATTAAGAGCATTTTGTACTTACTTAGACGGAAAAATTAGGACCAATGTTATAGCAGAAACAACAATTTGAGATTTTTCATACAAATAAGGGATAAACGTTTCATTGTTGTATAAGTAGTTAGAAATACTTCATGATGGTTAGCTCGCAGTGCGGCAGTGGGTAAAGGACTGGCGACGTTTAAATACTTAAATACAGCCATCTCCTCACATGGGCATCATGTGTCTCTATATCTCCTTATATATATGGGCATCACGTGGGTGTTATATATTATAATATACTTGATTTATAGTTATGATTATTTCACGGAAGGTAAATTGAATTCTCCATAGTCCAATCAACCGTTTTCCCTACCGGAAAACCGTTAAAAATGTTTCCTTGTGTTTGACATTTGTCTCCTATTTCAGATAGTTAAGATGCAACAGTGCTCGCTGTGTACGGAGACGGCTGTGTGTCCTGACTTTTATAAACAGCTTGTAAGTACTCATTATCACTTTAATTTTTAAATGTTACATCTATTTTGGAACGGAAAATTGATCTGACGACTTGATTGATAGCCGATTGACTATCTATGAGTATCTAACACGTGTCAGATAACCTCCCCACGTGTCAGATAACCTCCCAACGTGTCAGATAACCTGCCCACGTGTCAGATCACGTGTTTACTAACACCTCTCTACCCCCCAGTTGTCGGGTTGTGTACCACAACTAGAGGAGCTGTATAAGAGATGGGATAACCTAATGAGCGCTATGTCAGAGTTAACACTGAGACTCTGTGAACACGACCTGGGCAGCCTTTATAGTCACGTGTTCTTACTCTCAGACTTTGTAGTTGAGGGAAAACTGGAGGACATTATCTACCAGCATGGCGTTCTGGTGAGTGTCCTTTATTGTTACCATATAAGGTAATGTTACCATCGCATAATAACACTACCATATTATATATAGAGTAATGTTTCCATATAACGTTTTTTCACTTTTATGGCAATACCTTCTAATTCTAATCTTTACCTTACAAGCACTTATATAATAAAGCATAAATATAATAAATCACAAGCGTTTAATAACGATCTAAAGCTTTAAGCTATCTGTTTCATTAGGGTCGACCACTCGGGGTCTCCTTGTTATATATAAGGACCTTATATGGGCATCACGAGGTTTGGGAACTGGCGGCGCGGGGTTTGGTTATACGGCTACTTTTAGCGTTATTTAATTGAAATTTCGAGATATTATCTTTTATCCAGCTATCATGGTAACCCGTAACTAACTTAAAATGTCCAGACTCCAGACTAATACTATTTTAATACCATTTGAATACTCTAATGATAATATATTATATAAACGTGAATTTATTGGTAGACTTACCTTTCAAATAGTTAGCGTACCATTTAACTTATATAATAATAAATGTAAGCTCTGTTTCTGCTCACTACCTTTATAATGACTAATTCAGTACAAGAGAGAATTGAGAAATATTGGGGGACAGGGGCCTGTGCGGTTGTGTGTACGTTTGTATGGTATTATGTAATAATATTATGATATTATATGTAATAATATTATCATTATATTTATTATAGGTCTAGTTAAAGTTGCATATCATATAATGTAGGGCTACAGCTGTTACCTACCTAAAATAGATGAAAACAGGAGATGTTTATATTAAAGATTTCGGGTATTGGTTGGACGATAATAATGTCAAGAATTTTACCGAACCGTTCCGACTTTTAAACTATTTCCTGAAATCGTAGCTCCCTCCTCTCCCCTAATACTACAGCTTAAAACGTTCTCACTTTATAACGACAATAGTGAAAAAGAGGGAGTGGCGTGCCACACCCTCTGTAATTGATGACATTTTACGAAATGTTCAGGAAATCTAAGTTTGACCCATATCTATATTCTCTGAAATTTGTGAGCAATTCTGAAACGAATTACGTGAAATATTATAGGGTTGCGTGTGGGTAGTTACTTTTGGGCCACCCTGCATATTATAAGTGGGATATATAACAATGTTATATTGTTCCTTTCTCTGTATCTGCAGTGTGTTTCTACACTTAATTAGAGTGTAGTTAGTTACCTCTTTTGTATTGTAAGAGGTTGAAAGATTTATATAGATCATGGGGGGGGGGGGGGGGAGAATGTGATCATGGGGGGAATGTGATCATGGGGGGAGGTGGGATATGTGATCATGGGGGATGTGATCATGGGGGGGGGATATGTGATCATGGGGGATGTGATCATGGGGGGGGGGGGTGTGGTGTGATCATGGGGGTGGTAATGCGAATGTGAATCATTCAAGAGAGAAGATTGTGAGCGCCATTTCACAGTACTATATTATAAACATTATACAGTAATACTCCAATTTACCGCGGCGTTGGGGAAAAGAGATAGCCGCGGTAAATCTGGGTTTTACTGCAGTATACGGAGTATCATCACTGTTAATCTGATACAGCTGTGAACTCTTGTCACGTTAATTCTTATCTCATCATGTTCCCGACTCGAGTAGACCCAGAGGAAAACTTTCCCATTACAATCTTGTTATGAGCAGAAAAGCGTTGTAATGTAGAAAATTGCAGCATACCTTATATGGGCATCACGTGTTGAAGCTCATCACAATAAGGAGCGTCTTCATTGTTGTGTTATTATACAGTGAGTCCACACATAGTCTGATGTGTTATAACTACAACATAAAGACATAAACCCCACGTACCTCGCTCTACAGGTGCCGGAGCGATGTAGTCTACTGGGAGGGGCCGGTATGAAATCGAAAGGGGGAGGGGCCAGGGGGGGTTATATTGTTCAAACTTCGGCTTGTGTGAAATATCTATAAGATAAAAATGTAGGGAGCAAAAAACTCTGTGATACATCTCACTTTCCACAGAGCTTACATTCTAACTACCTCATCGCTGTATTTCATAATTCTAAACTGTATTACTAGCTCTATTCGTATTGCTAGCTCCACTCAGCAACATGCAAGGTGCACTTTAGTGCATATTATATTACTTCTTTTATTGCATATCATTATTATAACGTTTCTTTAACGTTTAATGTAATGGGAGTGTTCATCAGAGAGACGGCGCTGTATAATCTCCTCTTAATTCTGTCTCACTTTATGATGTTGCTAAAATGTTAGTAATTTAAGACTTTAGACATTTTGAAATACAGTTTAGAAAGAATATGATATATATAGAATTGAACTTCAGAACTGAGAATAATACGATTATAACTTAAAACTTTATTAATTACCATGGTTACTACTAGGAATGAACTAAAACTACACTCAGCCACTGAATATAGTTTCTATTCCCTGAAACATACTCCCACAGCTGCCTGCCTCTCTAGAAACCGTAATATCAAATATCAAATACCAATCAGCCCCACACTGTCCCCAAATTCAAAATTATATATACGGTTTGTAATACGACCTCTGAAACTGTAACAACGTTTCAAGTGTAACATGTTGGGTAGTGATCTGTAGTACTGTCATGTGATCTGTTGTATTGTCACGTGGTGTAGTTGTTACCATGGCAACTTGTTGGATAGTATTGTTACAATACTGTATTGTAGCAGACCTTACGAATATCACAAGACTGGGGATCAGTGCACATTGCACAACTCCTCGCGTTGAGCGAATATGATCCTGGTGCAATATAGTCTTTGGTTCTGGTATCATTGAAAATGAAGATAACTTCCTTAACCATTGTGATCTTAAGGGGGCTGGGGGGGGTCTTCATCAAAATTCTCTCGAAATCGAGTTTATAGTTGTTTCTGATAGAGGGGAGTGATATCTATCAGCTGCTTTTAGTCCCACGGAAAAATATTGTTCCTAGCCGAAATTATCGCCGGCCAAATGCAAAGGTCAGCGCTTATGTGTAATTGTATTGCGCGAGCGATTTTCAATCGCGCGTTCTGAAAATCGAGTCTAAAAATCTATCTTCTCCTACATTTTTTGAGCGATCACCCTAAAACTTTCAGGATATGTTCTTAGGATCTGTTAGAAGAGAACTCTAGAGCCAGAATTTTGAGATAGGCCTTTAAAGATTTTTAATTCGATTTTGAAAATTTTGGACCTTGATTTTTAGAGGTCCAAGATTTTCAAAATCGAATTTAAAATCTTTAAAGGCCTATCTCAAAATTCTGGCTCTAGAGTTCTCTTCAAACTGATCCTAAGAACATATCCTGAAAGTTTGAGGGTGATTGCTCAAAAAATGTAGGAGAAGATAGATTTTTAGACTCGATTTTCAGAACGCGCGAAATACAATGCTCGCGCAATACAATTACACATAAGCGCTGACCTTTGACCGGCGATAATTTCGGCTAGGAACAATATTTTTCCATGGGACCAAAAGCAGCTGATAGATATCACTCCCTTCTATCAGAAACAACTATAAACTCGATTTCGAGAGGATTTTGATGAAGACCCCCCCGGCCCCCTTAACGCTGCATCGAGGCGAAAAGTCTTAGACAAGATCCAGACAATCATGTCAAATCCAAACACACCATCTGCGACATAATCTTATCCTCTTCACACTGTCATCCCTTACCTGGAGCTTATATTAAATCCATGGATCACATCACTAATTATACACCAGAAGCTTGCATGTTAATTGTACATAATGACGTATATGGTGGTCATATCAATTCTGACCCAAGGTCTGGCAGCCCTCACGAGAGTCGTTGCTAGATTTGCTACTACGTGTATTAACAACAACAAGAAATTCGTCGACTCTCTGGCCAGTACATGAACATTGCTGTACCAGCGCTATCTCGTACCAATTCATTTTGTATTTGCTTTCACTAACACTGTAACAGTAACAAATTCGTTTCTTCGCGTCTTTTCGCGCAAAGTGGCCTGGCTCCAGCATCATAATCTTTCTTTTTCTTTTTAGTAAATTATATTAATATTAAAGGGGGGGGGGGGGGGGGGGGGGGGGGTGTCACGTCCGTCTATGTCCGCTTGTCTCATAGAATCCAAAAAGGACAGGACATAGGCGGACATAGGCGGACATAGGCGGACATAGGCGGACATAGACGGACATAGGCGGACATAGGCGGACATTAATGGACACCTAAATTGCTAAATAAAATGTTCAATTTTTGCTGTTATAGGGGGATCATGTTTTTTGTCCGTTCGGTACCCTATATTTTCAAAACGGACAAAAAATAGAGCGGACAAAAATGGACAAAAACGGGAAAAAATGGAAATAACATTTAGATGCTTCCTCCTCCTACTCTTCCTCCTCCTCCCCCTGGGTCTTCCTGATCTTCCTCAGTCCTCTTCCTCCTCCCCTCCTCAGTCCTCCTCCTACTCCTCCTCCTCGTCCTCAGTCCTCCTCATCAGTCCTCAACAGTCCTCCTCCTCCTGGGTCCTCCTCCTGGGTCCTCCTCCTCTTCATCCCCCTCCTCTTCCTCCTCAGTCCTCAGTCCTCCTCAGTCCTCCTCCTCATCCTCAGTCCTCCCCCAGTCCCCCTCCTCCTCCTCCTATTCAGTCCTCCTCTTCCTTCTCAGTCCTCCTCAGTCCTCCTCCTCCTCCTCCTCCTCTTCCCTCTCAGTCATTCTCCTCAGCCATCCTCCTCAGTCCTCCTCAGTCCTCCTCCTACTCTTCCTCCTCGTCCTCAGTCATCCTCATCAGTCCTCAACAGTTCTCCTCCTCCCCAGTCCTCCTCCTCCTCTTGGGGCCTTTTCCTGGGTCCTCCTCCTGGGTCCTCCTCCTCCTGGGTCCTCCTCCTCCTGGGTCCTCCTTCTCCTCCTCAGTCCTTCTCCTCCTCCTCCTCAGTCCTCTTCCTCCTCTTCCTCCTCCTCCTCCCTCTCAGTCATCCTCCTCAGCCATCCTCCTCAGCCATCCTCCTCAGTCCTCCTCCTTCTCAGTCCTCCTCAGT